TTCACTTAATTAAATTAAATAAAATTACATTAAGAAAATTGATTGTATAAAAATGAATTTTGAAATGTACATAATAAAAATATAATCATCAAGAAATAAACAGAGTATCGCACGTATTTCCGTAACGAGCCACTATGCACCACGCCATTTTGTAAAAACCGACAAGGGTTTTTCATGTAGCGAAGGCATAACACGTGTTTTCGTAATTTGCCACCGCACATCATGTCATATGCCAACTAGACGCATGAAAATAAAAACCGACAAAATTTTTCATTCGTGTCAAAGGCAATTCTAACGATAACATTTTACTAAAAAAATACGAATTAAATAAAGTGAAATTTAGAAAATTTTCTAAAGTTTAATTTGGAAACGTACACCAAGATAAGTAATACAGACAATCTTCTAGAAATATAATATAGTTATAATCGTTACAATTAAGAAAATATAATAAATTGAGAAAATATAATTTCAACTCTTGGGAAAGTTTCTAAAAAATAACGTTAAACAAAGATTATTTCTGCGTATTTTATCAATACATAAAACATACTTATACATATCAAAACACATACGTCTAACTAGTACCCGTGCGAGAACTCTCGCATGTTAAATTCCACCCTCTTCCTCATCTTTCCTTTTTCATATTAAAAGAAAAGTTGTTAATGAAACGTGTATATTTATTTTAAAAAAAATATTAAAAAGGTAACTTCCAATGTAAGTATAGAATTTAATATAAAAATAAAGAAAAACGACATTGATGTTTGAAACATATTAAATAAAGGTTTATTCAGTATTATTGACATGAGCAATTCACGACATTTCCTTAAAAACATTTAAAGTAATTGGACAATCATCCTTGAAGTTAGCTTTTCGCTTTCCTTTATAGTCTCAAAACTATTACACTTTTACTCTCGAGAAAGCTGCTCAATGTTGTTCAAGCGAAAATACAGGATCGGGAAGCATAACCCTACTCTGTGGAATATTATTTAACTATATTATCGAACTGAGAGGTACACCCGTTCAATTTAATCGTGTGGAGTATCAAGTAATAAGTTCCACTTGACATGCTACTAGTTACTAGATACTACTAGTTCCAGAAAAAAGTAAGAGAATGTGCAAGAAGCCCTCGACCTATAGATTACGGTGCGAGGAACGTCTCTTTGTGGACTTCGGCTTCAAACGTCAAGATTTTAACGCCATAAAACGCTTTGCCTATACGTCTGTTTTTATAACGTCCCGTGTCAAGGCCCGGTGGAATGTCACGGCATTTCGCGTCTTTCTTGGTCGTGCTCCTAGATGTCGCGTGATCGCGACCGTATCAAGCAGTGTTGCCCGACAGAGAAAGACGCGAAATGCTGTGACATATTCCATTGTGAAGACGCGCCTTAACGCGCCAGCACATAAGTGTATGTCTTATTCATCTAAATAGATTTTAACAATGCTGGTCGAGTGTTTCATGATGCCATTCACATGAATATTTAGATACCTTTTTCAAGAAATCTTTCACATTTTCAAAGACAAAGTACAAATCACCACGGCGCGTCCTTTTTTTTTATAGACCTTATTTATGAAGATCGGTTGCGAGTGCGCATAACTCATCTGTACTACTTAAATAATAAAATAGAGAATTTTATATAATAAAAAATTAAACAGATGAACTAGTAGTATCTGGACGCATACGCTAAAACATCTATATTTCCACCTATTTTCAATGATTAATAAAACGATAAGTTCATTAAGAAATTGAACTTGTTTGCATGTAAATTAATTAATAATGTAATAATTAATAATGTTTTAAAGGAAATGGCAAAATGATTCAATTATATAGGTAATTGGTATCAATTATGATGTAGAAAGTAGTTAGTGATTAATAGGATTATCTTGCAACATTTGCGTTCACCTGTATTGTGTTATTAAAGAGTCTGAAATTTGAATGTGATACGTTCTGTTATTAGTTAATTGTATTAGTAGTTGTATAATTAGACATTAATGTGATTATTATATTGCAGCTTTTAATGACTTATTGTAATGAATTATTTGAAGGTTTGAAAAATGTGCAGTTATTTAATTAGTACCTATTTCATTTTTTAATAGCTATGGCTAAGTTTATGAACTCGCCCTAAACAAATTTTCAGCACTACAAGTGCATACATTGAAACGTTATTTGAAATTTCCAATGAATTCCAATTTGTTGTACATTCATATCAATAGTTCTACACAATGCATCCAAATGTAAACTATATCTGAGTAACGGCTAAACATTCGACCTATCTGTCTCGAGAGACACAAATTTCGCCCAAACAATAACAATGCGAATGTGTACCTCGGCCTCATGAGTGTCTTGATATCTGTAAACCGTCAATTTGCGGGGAGTCCAATAACCGTTGTTTGTATTGCACATTTTCAGCCAGGAGATGAATTGTGTTGGTACTTGAAACTCGATGAGAGGGGGGGGGGGCGAAACTGCTCGCTGCAACCCAACCGAAGTGTCGATCGACTGCGTTGGTGGCAGAGGGGCAGATGTAAATAGAGGGCTCATTGCGCTCAAGCGTCTGTTGGAAATGTAATAACTCGGGTCCAAATGTTTACGATCTAAAAATGTTAGAAAAGTGCAAGCATTTATGGCCCAAAAATGAGAAAATTGACCATAAATATGACATTTATTTTTGTTTGCATATTCGAAACCTTCAAAATCTTGACGCTGTTTAAGTAATCTGAAAGTATACTTTTAAATTGTAGAACATTCAACAATAAATATAATTTTAACATTTATTATCGCACTAGCGGAACTTGGCAGATGTTGTTCTGCCCTTCCTTGCTTCTTTTTCTTTCGCTCTCCCTTTCTCTCTTCATCTCCCTCCCCCTCTCTGCCTCTACCTCTCCCTGTCTGTCTACGTCTCTGTCCCTCTATCCGTATCTTTCCGTGTCACACAGCAACGCTCAGCAACAATGAAGCCCACGTGGTGCGCAGTTTGAATGGAAATTGAAGTTAAAGGAAGCGCAATTTTATTCTACAGCGCCAGCTAGAGGCGTTATAAAAAAATTGACAAACAAAACTTCTGGGTGAAAAAACACGTAGATGTCCCAATTTCCATGGAGAGCTGTCACACAGTGTCGGAGTTTACCGCTCTTATATACCCCAACATTTATCTTCAACACTATCTTCTAAATGTATGATTGTTGTTGATGTGTTTAAATTAGACTTGATGTAAGAGAGATCTCCAATCAGTACAGTATTTAAAAAAAAGGAATTTATCGGATTTGATCGAGGTAGCTTCGCCTTCATTGTATTCGCTAACTACATGAGCATAAATAAAGTTAAAATAAGAGACTGATAGGCTATACGAAAGGCACATTTACATTTAACTAATTTGTACTAGTATTTACAAGTTTAGCGAATGCCCTGTAGATGTTTCTGCAGATTCGGAGCGGCGCTGCTTCGCGTTGCTACGTCACGAACACATCAGCCGATGCCACCTCGACGCATGTATTAGGTGGCATTGCATCAGCGCTGCGATTTCGCAACACATTTCCAAAACATCTCTTCTCTCTCGTCGTTTATCGCTGCTCCAACATGAACGTTCTCTAATGCGTAAGCAGTAGCAAGAAAGTAATAATCGCCGTTTTTCCGCAGCATTACATAAGTTTTTCTATACTGCATATATTACTCTTTATATACGTACGTATATAAATCAAATATTTAAAAAATTGTACATGATTTTTTCAAAATCGTTTTTTAAAAAACAGATTTAATTAAAATATTCTAATTATGTTAGTTGTAAGAAAATGCCGAAAACGTTTACAATTTTCGAAAAAATACAGTTTTCAACGAAAATCAGTCCTGAACCATTTTCATAAGCGTCTATTACTCTATCTGAAACCTAATCAAAAAAAATTTGCCTTTTTTTTTAAATTTTTGAAAATGTTCCAAGGGAAGTATTCTACAAAATTAAAATATCCGTTTCAATAGGGTTACCAGAGACCCAGTTGAAAAAATCAGGGCATTACACAAAAAATAAATTAGCAAGTGTGTATAATGACATGTAGGTAAAGATTTTTAAAACTACAAAAGAGATCAATTTGTTTGTTAATTCTGCACTGTACGGTAAATTAAGATTACGGAAGATTTATGATTGAGAATTTTTCTTATATCGTTTTCAACATTTCCCCTACAATATAAGGGTAAGACATACCTATGGTTCTTATAGTTAGAAACACGGAGTTTCACATCTAATATAACTTTTTTCTGTAAAGAAGTTATATATTTTTTTTGTATATTTATGTTAGACATATTAAAGTTACAATATACAAGAAATGGATGACAGACTAAAAAATCTAGAGTTTTGACGACAAATCAAGACAGTAAGGACAAGGTCCAACAATCAGGACGTCTTGTAACCCTAAGTTTCAAATTCAAGGGGCCGCATCATGGGGCAGATAGATTGAGAAATATCAATTTTGGAGAAAATCGGCCGAACGGTTTAGCCGCTAGCGTTGTGATACACGACAGAAGGACACACGTGTTGCCGATTTTTCGGTATAAAGGATTCACAAAACACTGATCCTGGCAACACTACGTGTTAGAAGTTTTATTTTTAGCAACTGAATATATATCCTCTGCCCGGCAATAAGTTTTTCTGCCGAAAGTTCGCCGGTTTTTCTCGCAGCAATACATAACTTTAAATTTTGTAAGCAGAAACGAGAAAGTACGAACGAAGTTACGATTATTCATGGAAGAATGTGATATGCTATTCGAAATATCAACGGAAAAAGTCTAAAGGATTAAAAGTGTCAGAGTAGGACTCTATCAGTCACGTACAAATTGCATAAATTTAGTCATTGTCCATAAAATCATGCTTAACTTAATTTTTTTCTTGAAAATAACACAAAGAAAACAAGACATATCATAAACATCCTAGGAGTGATGTTTTCTAGAGATGAAAGTGGGAAATGCAGGTATATTAGATAAGAAAATGTGGAACCTTATAGAATAGGAACTTTATTCTCTTCTCTTTTTAAATTAGTCACTTATGATTAACTAATTGACATTAACTGACATTCTAAAAAAGCATATTTCTTCTTCCAAATTTTGGCTCGATCGATAACATGGATAGTCCATGGATGAAAATCCATGAACGATATGAACTGAATTACCTGAATCTTAGAAGCACAGTAATTAAACACTTGTAGTTTAATAAAAAATCTTAACCTCAACATTTTAAGTAAATAAATATAAACAAAAATAAATTAATACACAATATAGTATAGCAAATAAATTTAGTAAAAAATAGTAAGGTAGTTTTGAAATTTGAGAAGTACTATGATTTTAAAATAATTTCAATGTTATAAACATCTTTAAGATACAATAGCCTTTTTGCGCCGTGTTGTGGCAGAATGAACCGTCCATACCACGTTTCAGAAGTGTTGTTCTTTTCATATCTGGGTATTCTAGAATATATGTAATTTTATTTTGAAGATACTATATATTCGTATCTGACACAACTACAAAATGATTGTTACTGCAATTAAAGTCGTAACTGGCGTTTGTCTTATTTTCCCCACCGAAACGCAACTCTCTCTGAGGTTCGTGTGGCGAACTTGCCTTGCCGAAGTAGTCTGTGCGGTCGCCGATAGATCGCAGTGATCTTGCGTTGGAGCCCCGGTGTATTGAGGCCCTGCCTCCGGATGTGCGCGGGAAGCGTGATGACTTTTGAATAAACTCGCAAATTTATCCACACCCGACAAATACGTATTTCTTAGTTTACGATTATTAGGATTAGGATGGAAGAAGTTTCGGAAGTATACATCGGGTCAAACATTTTTTGGGGAAACGTATGATGTTGAATTTTGTGGTTTCAATCCCTTCGTACCGGGAGATGTGGCTTAGTGCATCAACTGGGGTCACTGCAGTACCTCTGACCAGGAGGTCCTAGGTTCGAGTCCCGACAGTTTGTAAGATCGACACTAACTTGTCAGCTGGGTCGAACTCAGTCGCTGTCTGAAGAATTCTAGAGACCAGCTGGCAGTTTTCCATGGTTTCTCCAATCGACACCAGGCGAATACCGGAGCAGTTCCCTAAGAAACGGGCCACGGACCGCTCGCGATCTTTCTTTCCCCTTTCTTATGCTATCCTCATCCCTTAAATCCACTTACACAAACATCGACTACACTACCACACATGCCGGGGGACCGGTCGGGAGCTTAGAGCTTGTCCCGGCTGGGGCGGTGCCCTGCTGGGGGAGATACCTAGTGAGGGTAACTCCCGCTAGCCAACAGTAGATCGGCGCTGGATCTAGCTATCCAGCGGGGAAATATCACCATCACCACTAGAGGAAACATGCACTACAGTTACGGGACTAATAACCAATGTAGTTGACGCGCCTGGCATCACTAACAGCCAACGATTTAGTGACTTCGCGGGATTATGCAAATATATTCAAAATGCCCCTATTGGCCATTAGTTATTTAATATTATATCATTATCAAAACAACATGCCAGTCATCAGTACATGGTCGTGAAATTTCATGTAACTTAAACATTTTTTAAGACTTTTGTTTACTGCCTGTCCAATTGTAATACATTTTTTAAGGGGCATTGAAAATATTAAATATATTTTTTGTACAAGTGCCACCGTCTTGTTGTTAATTCAATGAATCAATAATTACTTAAAAGGGAGTAAGCAGGAGTATATGAACCACACCCGATGGTGCTTACGTGGTAAACCGAATACGGTACGTGAGACATCTAGTTGTTCATAATGTAAATGTTCCTTGGTTACAATGGTAACAATATGTCTGTGAAATATTTAGGCTCATTCCTTGATAAACGTTTAACTCGGAAATATCACATCTCAAATATTGTTGGAAAAACATAAGAAAATTTCTAAGCTTAAATCTTGAATACATAAAAATTCAAAATTACGAATAACATGTGGTATATTAATATACAAAACTATTATCGGGCCGTCTTTTACTTACCCTTGTCCTGTACAGCCCAATACGTCTTTAACCCATGTGAAAAACTACAAACCTACAAAATAAATTTTTAAGGAACTTATTACAAGCCGAATGGTTTGTATCAAATAAGCAAATTCATCGAGAATTACTAATACAACATATTAAAACATGTATAATGACATAGTCCACAAAGTTTTATAACGTATTATCTTCTGCTCCTATTTCAAAAAACTTTGATTTAGGTCAACACTATAAAACTCTGAATTCTCTCAAGATTTCCAAAAGGAATCCTCCATAATTTTCTTTTGCGCGAATTACAACGTACGTAACCATGACTACTTTTACGGTAACAGCTTAGCATTTTGAGTAATCACCACGACCTCACAACGGTGCGAGAGAAATAAGTTAGGCCATAGATTAGCTTCAACTCATGGCCAATGTTAATGACTGCCACTCTAACTCTCGTATGACCGCACTCGTTAACGTTCAAATCTCATATGCCAGCGACTACTGTTAACCACCCCGAATCTCTTCTGCCCTTTGCGACCACTATCAATAATGTCTTAATCTTTTCTTAATTTGCTTCCTTGCCTAACGCCATAATCTTGTAATATTTTTAGGCTTCTTCCTACAACTACAAAATTAAAGATAGAGGTTTTTCCTTGAAATGAAATTTGTTGTCCATAATTTATTCTTTCATTAAGGTCATGAACATGTTTTTGAAAATTTTAGTAGTTTTCGCGCAATATTGCGTGCAAATTTAAAATTTTACAAAATCAAAATTTTCTCAAAACGGCTCATATTTTTTAAAAAATTTTTGGTAGTCACAGTGCTAAATCAACTCTATAAAATGACATAAACGCCATATTGTATTATTCCTATGCTTTTTCGAAAATGTTACAAATGTTATTCTTTTTTCTTGTCTCTCAGGTCGTTATTAGCGGCTATTTGTTCACATTATTGTATTTATGAGTACATGCGCTTTAGATTATGTCATATAAACTTTCTCGAAAACTCCAGCGTTTCCTGTGAAACCTAGCTAAAAACCGCGCATTTTCCGGAACGCTCAAACGCCATTTTCTCCAAAACATTGCTTTAAACATTTCGAACGGATACCGATGATCCCGCTCTTCAATATGACGTAAAGTTCATTTCAGTGTATTTTTTGTTTATTCAAAAATTACACAAATGCAAAATTTTTAAACGATCTCTCAGGCCATTATATGCACATATCCAACAATTTGTAAACCTACCCCTGTTGTGTGAGTTAGAGGACTTAAAATTATTTCAAATGACGTTTTTCGAGTTAAGAGTCAATATTTTATGTGGAAATGGAAGATTTTAGTAAAGTCTACAAATCCGAAGTATTATATAACGTCATTTTTAGTTCCCTTCAAAATTGTTATACTCGTTAAAGTGTTAAGGGGTCGATCCATAGGTTATGCTCTCGTCTCGTGTCTCCCTACAAGAAAAAGTAGATTGATATGGAGAGATCCTCATATTTGGTGCGTGTTCAGAACTTCAATAAAAATTTAAGTTGTCTCCAAAAAACAATATATTCCGGAGATTGCACCCTTCCAACCAACGCAATATTTTTAAGTCGAGTGTTGGGAATAAGAGTCATAAGTCAGTAACAGAGTTTTTGACATGTTATAATTAAGATTTTGTGATAAAACGCAGTTGAGGTTCGTTACGACCGCCTTAGGCGGTGAACTACTCTTCTTAAAAATATTGACTTGTTGCTTTCATACACCAATAACTTATTGCGTTACACGAAGATGGTCATTTACCCGATTTTTTACCATCATTTCTTTCTAATACCAGTAGCGTTTGGTAGTACCAAACTTTCAGCTAGCAGAACTCTCTCATAATAATAAACCAACAGACACTTTGGTTACGGTATGCTTGTAAGTGACCGCATACGACTCTCCCGAAGCCTTCAGATAATATGTGAAATCATTTCTGACTAAATTGGCGGCGAATTGGGAAAATTGATTTGCTGGCTGTTTCTCTTGTTTGTAGGTAGTTTAGTAGTTTGTAGGCCATTTAGGCCGAGGTTCTACTCTACTTTAATATTCTTCAAGTAATATTTCGGTTCTACTATTAGGAAACCGACAAACGGTGAAAATGTCAAGAAATTGTACTTTTGGGCGGCAATAGATGGCAGTTGGCACGGGTATGTGGTAGATCCGAACAGGTAGCACAGACCCCAAAAAATAGAAAACTAATATGAGATATGTGTAAACTAATATGTGTCATTCTGTAGCACTTCGTACTAGTTTATGTATGTGATAACGTGATATATTGTGCATTGCATATTTGTGAGAATTATGATGTGAAAGTAGTGTGGCAAGATGTTGATTTGTCAGCTGGTTGTTAGTGATTCCGGGCGCGTCAACTACCGAGGCCATTAGTCCCGTAAGTGCAGTGCATGTTTTTAATAGGGGGTGCCGTTTATCTTCCCCCGCTGGATGGCGAGATCCGGCGCCGACCTACCTCGGCGAGCGGGGTTTCCCCAACTCGGGCCGCTCTTCCGGCATGTCTGGTGGTGTAGTGCATGTTAGTTGAAGTGTGTGTGTGAGGGGTGAGGTTCGTGTACTGCTCCGGCACTTGCCTGGTGTTGATCCGAGAAACAACGGAAAACTACCAATCAGAGGAGCTCCAGTCCACCAATCTCTAGTCTCTAGAAATCTCCACATATATGAATTATACGAGTAGTATTTTGTTTTAAATTTTATCTCTTTATAAATTTTTTCCTCGCTAGCCGCTCCTAGAAATAACCATAATGAAAAGGTTATTTCTTAAAATAATTTCATTTCTCGAACACGAATGGCAAAACCGCCAATACATTGCGAAATATAGAATCTCGTGTAAAGGCCGTTTAGAAAAAACCGAAAAAACAACTTTGCAACAATTAAAAAGGTTCATAAACAATTCCGAAATTTGCGCTATTCCTTCCGGGGGTGTCCGTAAATTGAGTTGAAGATTGTTATTTTGCAATTTTGACAAGAGATGCAAATTGTTGGTGAACATTTAGTTTACTTGTTACTAAATTGATAAATATATTTCATATTTTAATTTTATTAATGATATTGAAATGGTTTCATAGAAGGTTTCTGTGGATTCGAGAAATCACGACTTTGCAATTTTTGGAAATTTTATAAACATACGAAATTTTGAAAATCTGCAATTATAAT